GAATGGGCAATCTAAGCAAAAATGGCTTATAAAAAAAAAAATTTGAGTGAGTTTGGAAAGGATGGAAAAACAAAAAGAGATGCTAGGATGAAAACCTGAAAAGGCTCCTAGGCAAAATGAGAGATATGAGAGAAGTATTTGTTGTGTGCAGGAACTCATTTGATCTCTTGAAGAGAAAGAGGAGAAGGCAAAAAAGAAGAGGCAAGAAGATGGAGCATAGAAGATCATAAAACCCAAGAAAAAAATGTTGTTTTGTAAAATCATTTTCTTATTTCTTGGTGATCTTAGTTCCTTTCTTTCTTGAACTCATGGAATGATCTTAAACTGTTTGAAACATTTGACTTTACTCGAGGACGAGTAAAGAACTAAGTGTGGGGGAGTTGATACGTTTGTAATTTCCGTGTGTTTATTTACGTTTTTAGTTAGTTTTGGTTGTTTAATATTTCGGAAATTACACACTTTCGGTGTAATAGTTTAGTTTGTTAAATTCTTGTAATTTGTTTAGATTAGGTTTATTCTGAGCTTAAACAGGTCCAAAATCAATCAAATGATCAAAGGTGAAGGAAGGTGCAAGAGTAGAAGACAAAAAAGGAAAAACTCCTGATTTTGGGGTATACTCGGTCGAGTATACCTTATACTCGATCGAGTACCAATACTGATTTTCAAGGATCCGATCCGGGAACAAATGAACATGCAAGGAAAGATTTGGCCACGTTCTATTGTCATACCCGATCGAGTACACCGACATACTCGATCGGGTATACATATAAAATCTACTCGAGTATTAATCGAGTATTGACCAAATTCATGTTTCTACACATACTCGATCGAGTATATGTACATACTCGATCGAGTACTCGGCCTGCACTTCAAAAAGCCTATAAATACACCTCCTTTCCTTCACTTTAAAGACACCAATTCACATATACTTCTTAGCTCAGTTTAAACAAGTTCTTTCTTTATATTTTTCATCATGTTTAGTCTCCAAATGAGGAGCTAAACTCTTCCATCTTGGTTTTGCTACTTTGAAGCTTAATGAATTTGTAAGTTGTGAGTTATTCTCTTTAATCTTCTTCCTTGAATATTAATTCTTCCTTTAAATACTATTTCTATATCAATGTTGGGGAGTGTTACTAAGATGACAATTAGTTAACATCTTGACATTAGTTATAGTAATAGCTATTTCTTCCTCTATGTTAATATTGTAGGATTCATCTTCTTTAGTATTCTCTCTTGAGTATTAATTAATTCCTATTCATATTTCATATTAATATTTTGAACATTACTTAAAGGATCAACTAGTTTTGTTTCATATATTAATTAATATTAGAATCGGTCGATTAATACGCTTGTTATTAATTCGGTCCTTTCATGGTAGTAAACTTGGATTATTAATGCATGCATCTCATGGTTAATAATCTAAGTGGAATTAATTATATTGATTAAACCAATAAACCGCTTGTGTTGAGGTTATCAATCTCAATCGTTTTCATCTTAAGTTTATTGCTACTATCAGGTTAATATACGGCGCTTGTTCTATATTGACCCAATAGTAAGTTTTATTAATGAACGCTTCTCGTTATTAATAACTACCCTCGATGAACTGGATATACTCCTCGATTGAGTATTCGAGAGGAAGATAGTTAAAGATATAACCGGGATCGACAAACATTTCATTAAGTGGATAAAAGCAAAGCCAAGTCTCCTTCCTATTAAACCACATAACTCGTTCATCTTCGTGTTTTATTAAACCAAATCAAACTAAAAACCCCCATTTTGTTACTAGTTTTATAAAAAGAAAAGTATTCCTTTCCCTGTGGATACGAACCTTACTTCATTATACTACGTATAATTGTTGTATTGTATTATTATTTTGAGTGCACACCGCGACTAAGTGCACGTCAAATTTGGCGCCGTTGCCGGGGAAAGGCAATTATTTTTCTTTTTATTTTATTTCAAGAAAAATCAAAAAAAAAAAATTAACTAAAAATATAAAGAGTTCTTATTTTCTATTTCTGAGCTTTGTTTGAGTATATGGTTAAACATCGATCTATAAACCAAATCACCTACCAAACAAATCCCGAAATAGAACAAGCCTTCGAGAGGTTGAGAAATTTATTTCCGCACACACCCTCGGAGGAATCCTCAAACGCTAGCTCTAGCGAATCCGAAGAGTCATTCCACATGGCTCTCGAGACAAGGACCCTAAGGGAGCTCACAGCTCCAAACTTGAATCAACAACCATTATGTGTTACCTTTCCTACTCTTGATGAAGGTAATACATTTGAGCTGAAATCTGGGCTCATACATTTATTGCCATCTTTCCATGGCATGAGAGGAGAAGACCCGAATAAACATCTTTCGGAGTTCCACATCGTTTGCACAAGCATGTGCCCAAACGGTGTCACAGAAGAGCAAATAAAACTGAGAGCCTTCCCATTCTCCTTGAAAGATACCGCGAAGGATTGGCTTTTCTATCTTCCTTCGGGAAGCATAATCAACACATGGGCACAAATGAAGAAGTGCTTCCTCGATAGGTATTATCCTGCTTCCATCTCATCTTCTCTCAAAAAGCAAATAAGCAACATCGAGCAAAAGGATGATGAATCCTTATATGAATTTTGGGAAAGATTTAAGAAGCTATGTGCTAGCTGTCCCTATCATGGCTACTCAGAACAAGACCTCATCTTATACTTTTATGATGGTCTTGTTGATGATGATAGAAGAATGGTGAACGCCGCTTGTGGAGGCGGCATTGTTAATAAAACTCCTTCACAAGCTATAAATCTTATCTCAGAATTGGCCGAGAACTCACGGCTATTCGGTCGCAGATCCTCAACTCGTAGAGTTGCCGCGGCAGAATCGACATCATCACTGGAGAGTCAAGTTGCCGGCTTGACTTCCTTGGTTAAGGATTTCCTCTTAAAATCCAAGACCCAAGAAGTCAAGGTCTGCGGCATTTGTACGCAACAAGGGCATCCCACTGACTCATGCCCGACTCTTCAAGAAAACGATACAGAGCAAGTCAATGCCTTGGGTTTCCAAGGCCACCAACAAAGGAGGTACGACCCATTCTCAAACTCTTACAACCCTGGATTAAGAGATCATCCAAACTTGAGGTATGGAAACTCCCAACAATCCAAACCATCTTCTCAACCATCTTTTGACAATCAAGGTTCAAACTCTCAATCTAATATGTCAACGGATGAAATGATACGAGCTTTGACTTCAAACATGGTTACCATGCAACAAAGCATGGGTCAATTTCAACAAACCATGATACAATTCCAACATGAAACGAAGTCAAGCATTAAAAATTTGGAAACCCAAGTTAGCCAAATTTCAAATGCCGTAAGCCGTCTTGAAGCAAAGGACTCGGGTAAACTCCCATCTCAAACGGAGCAAAACCCGAGACAACATGTGAATGCAATCATGTTGAAGGGGGTAGAAAAAAATGACCAAGAGATCAAGGAGGTTGATCATGAAGAAGAAGATCAATCTGAGGAGAGAACCACAAAAGCGAAACTTCCACCATATGCTTCGTATGAACCAGTAGCCCCATTTCCCGAGGCACTGATGGAGACAAGGAAGCTGGAGAAAGATACTGACATCTATGAGACATTCGCCAAGTGTGAGGTAAACATTCCGCTCCTTAACTCAATTAAAAATGTTCCCCGTTTTGCTAAATTTTTAAAAGAATTATGCAAAACAAAACGAAAGGATAAGTCAAAAGAAAAGCAAGAGGTCAAGGTTAGTGAACATGTATCGGCTCTATTTCAAAAGAATTTGATCGAGTATTGACCAAATTCATGTTTCTACACATACTCGATCGAGTATATGTACATACTCGATCGAGTACTCGGCCTGCACTTCAAAAAGCTTATAAATACACCTCCTTTCCTTCACTTTAAAGACACCAATTCACATATACTTCTTAGCTCAGTTTAAACAAGTTCTTTCTTTATATTTTTCATCATGTTTAGTCTCCAAATGAGGAGCTAAACTCTTCCATCTTGGTTTTGCTACTTTGAAGCTTAATGAATTTGTAAGTTGTGAGTTATTCTCTTTAATCTTCTTCCTTGAATATTAATTCTTCCTTTAAATACTATTTCTATATCAATGTTGGGGAGTGTTACTAAGATGACAATTAGTTAACATCTTGACATTAGTTATAGTAATAGCTATTTCTTCCTCTATGTTAATATTGGGGAGTGTTACTAAGATGACAATTAGTTAACATCTTGATATTAACTATAGTAGGATTCATCTTCTTTAGTATTCTCTCTTGAGTATTAATTAATTCCTATTCATATTTCATATTAATATTTTGAACATTACTTAAAGGATCAACTAGTTTTGTTTCATATATTAATTAATATTAGAATCGGTCGATTAATACGCTTGTTATTAATTCGGTCCTTTCATGGTAGTAAACTTGGATTATTAATGCATGCATCTCATGGTTAATAATCTAAGTGGAATTAATTATATTGATTAAACCAATAAACCGCTTGTGTTGAGGTTATCAATCTCAATCGTTTTCATCTTAAGTTTATTGCTACTATCAGGTTAATATACGGCGCTTGTTCTATATTGACCCAATAGTAAGTTTTATTAATGAACGCTTCTCGTTATTAATAACTACCCTCGATGAACTGGATATACTCCTCGATTGAGTATTCGAGAGGAAGATAGTTAAAGATATAACCGGGATCGACGAACATTTCATTAAGTGGATAAAAGCAAAGCCAAGTCTCCTTTCTATTAAACCACATAACTCGTTCATCTTCGTGTTTTATTAAACCAAATCAAACTAAAACCCCCCATTTTGTTACTAGTTTTATAAAAAGAAAAGTATTCCTTTCCCTGTGGATACGAACCTTACTTCATTATACTACGTATAATTGTTGTATTGTATTATTATTTTGAGTGCACACCGCGACTAAGTGCACGTCACTAGTGTTTCGATGTAAAAACGCATAGAAAGCGAATATACCAACCTGAAGAAAGACAAGTTGCCATCACGAGTAAAAGTCAGCAAGACAGGGCCACGAGCTAGCAGAGAGAACATCCTGTATTGAACACTTGTAACAGCTGTTCTATGTTTGCTGCTACACCGCTGTCTATGAGATCTAGATAACACACCTGTACGAGATTCCATACACACTGCGTATATGCATCCCTGTATGTATTATTCAGCCATTACAAAAATATTATAAGCCAATGCATGGGTCATCATTTCAGAAAGCTTATTTAAACGAGAGAAAAGGATGTGCGCCAAAGCAGCAACCTGTCCATCACCGCAGAAAATAAGATGACCCGTGTGATCGTGATCCATAGCAGTTACTTCGTCTTCAAGGTTAGCTTTGCTAATTGTTCTCCCAGTGCTAAAATTGAACACCTGAGATAACTGAGATTTAGTTCGTCGAAGAAAAAAAACTCAAGATTGTATGTATATGTATCAATTTTGCCAGGGAAGGTAACTCTAATAAGTATCAACTATTATAGCTCATCCTGTCTCATGATGTTTTCAATGAAAGTGGAAAACCCATAATGACGACGGTTTTGTAAATGTATCTTATGACTATTCTTTCTTTTTTATGTTGTGAATGTTGTGATATGATTGGGTGTCCGGCATAAAACATAACCACTGATAATTTGCATAAAACATAGTACCTATATCCCACTAACATTGTGATAGATTATAGCCAAATCTAAATGAATTCAAAGCTCACAGAAAGATAAAAATGGAGAAAACAAACAATTGGGAAAGTTAGTTGTATAACAGAAAGAGAGAGAGAAAGTCCATAGGCAGTTAAAGCGCGCTAACTCCCAAGTCCCAAATAACCAGATAGTTCCAACCTACCCCCACAAAGCACAACACCTCTTATTTAAAATATACACCACCCAACCCCCATATACACACAACAACAACAACAACAACCAAGCCTTAATTCCAAAAGATTTTGGGGTCGGCTAACATGAATCAATCCATGATATCAATGCCAAGAAGAAGAAGAAGCAGAAGAAAGAGGAGGAGGAGGAGGAGGAGGAGGAGGAGGAGGCAAAAAATAAATAAATAGGAAAGATACCAATAACATAAGAACATAGGAAAGATAAAAAATAAAAAGATAAGAACATAAAAAAGTTAGAAGACAAAAATAACATAAGAACATAAAGAAGATAAACGATAAGAAATGGAGAGAGGATGCATAGAAAAGAGATCAATCTTCCACACAAATATGTGTCCTCCACTTTGCTCTCTCTGAAGCCATACTCTCATCCAACCCAAGAAGACGCATATCAGTTCTAATTCCTCTAATCCAAGTCTGTTTGAGTCTTCCCCTCCCTCTCCTCTCTGCCTCTTCTCCCCACCCCTCAAGTCATCTAACAGGTGCATCACTCGGTCTTCTACGCACATGTCAAACCCAGCGCAAACGAGACTCATGCATCTTATCTTCTATAGGTGCTACTCCCACCTTTTGTCTGAAAATCTCATTCCTCAAGTGGTCTTTTCAGGTACGTCCGACACACATTACACACATTAGCTAATTATTTATTAGTTCTGTTTCCCCGTCTGGTGTAGACTTTATCATAATAGGTCATGCCCTCTTTATTATTAAACCGTTGTCTGCCTTGATCTCTATCACATTAGGACATGATGAGGTGGTGCAGTTATTAAAAAAATGGATTTATGTGGTTGTTATTAAATTGATAAAGTAAGAATTATTTAGAACCACACAAATTTTACCAAATTTGGTATGAGACCATCTTAGTGGGACGGACCGAAAAGGAAAGATGGAACAATCTTAGCGGGACGGACCGAAAAGGAAAGATGGGACAATCTTAGCAGGACGGAGGGTGTACTTGTTTTGGTGGGCTTTCGCTACGCAGTGCCACCGGACTGCCATGGCGATATGGCGCCTGTCGTGGCAAATATCACAACAATACGTTGACATAAGTACAATAATTAATGAATAATACTCCTTCTGTCCTTTGAAACTTTGTCAAGTTTGTCCAGCACGGAGAATAATAAAGTAAGAAACGTGTAGTTGAACTTTGTGCAGAGGAGAGAGAAATAGGGTGAATAACAAACTAATTCATTAAAAGGGAAAATGACAAAGTTTTTGCGACAACTGAAAAGGGAAAGGCGGCAAAAGTTATAAGGGACGAGGGAGTATATTTTATATACTACATTTAACACTTATAGCCAACACTACGAAGATTAGACATTATCAAAGTTATAGGAATAAAACATCTAAACAACATAACTAATTAACATACCACATAAAGACTTGTCAATTACTAATAGTAATTACTAATACAAAACAATAGAAAGCAAATTTGTTTTCAGAAAATAAAATAAAATTTTAAAGTTTAAATTTGTTTTGAACCCACTGCTGCAGTAAACGAAATGAACTGTAGTAAAAGAAAGCTGCAGTAAAAAAAGAACAAGTCTGAAAAAATAAAAAGATGCTCGGGATGCCAACAACCAGTGCTGACGAGCGAGGCGAAGGCAACAAGCAAGACGATGGGTGACGAGTCTGGACTGGGTTACGATCTGCGACGCCATGAGACGGATATGGCGTCGCTTGGACACCGTGTCGTCGATGAGGCGACGCCATAAGGCTTGTCGAGCCTCCATGGCGAGCACGATAGAGTGCCGCGACGCCAAGGCAACGCCATAACAACTATGACATAAAATTACAGTGTTTACTTATTTTACACAACTAACATACACTACAAATTTCATTTCATCATTACCAATGCCATAACGACAAAGTGATTAAGGTGGTGAGCATAATATGTATGTGTATATCTATGTGCGTATAGTGTGTCTAAGAAAGAATTGCAATATGCATAAAAACTTACATTTATTTCTTTGTTTGCATTCCCAGCAGAAAAAAAGTTATTGTTCACCTGAAATTAACTCACTATTATGTCACAAAGAATAAATTAAGATTCAAGGGGACAAATAACTCTCCACTTACAGGATGAAATCGTATACATAGTTGTGATGACATTCCATAAATCACCCTAACACAAATGCCATTGGAAACATCCCATACTCGTATAGTTTTATCCATTGAAGATGAGGCAATGTATTGGTTATTTGCCGAGAAGTCAAAATCTGAACAAGAATGAGAAATCAAAACACAGGCATGATTTCTTTATTAGTATTATTAACAACTGAATTTAATTTCTTCATTCCCTGCACACCATTTAGGGAATAAAAGAGAATACATGTAAAATGCTTCACAGTAATTCCATATGGTTGAGTATAACTTTTGGAACAATCCCTGGTTAGTGCTCATTCACTGACTCAATGTTAATGAATAATGAGTAAAGAGGCTGAAGACAATAAAGTGAATTTATTAGCAAAAAGGAAATAAAATAAACAATAAAATAGCATCAGGGAAACCCTCCAAGATTCCTGAAGGAACCCTCTCTGCAAGAATACTTCTTGCCTCATCCAATGGCCAATTATTTTCTTCTAAATTCTTGATGCCCTTTGTAAAAGGAGAAGGGCTAATTTGTAAGTACACAAATCATTAACAAAGGAATAGTGGAATGAAAATCCATTACATAATTTGACTTTAATATCTGTTGATAGAGCCCTGGGCTGTAGAGAATAATAATAATAAGAATAATAATAATAGTGATAGATTGATATTAAATAAGTATGGTATTGTATAAATAAGTATTTTGGGCCATGTCATATAATATGGGCTTGCCCGTTAGAATAGAAGTACTATAAGAAAGGGAAGGAGGGAAGGAAGGAGTAGGCTGATTTTGGGAATCGGGAATTAGTTCTGGAGAGTTGAGTGCCTCTCGAAGCGCCTCATTTGTATCGTCTTCTTCGTTTCTGCCTTTTACCGCAATATTACTGTTCAATTTACTGTTACAGAATTGGAGATCCTATCATTGGTATCAGAGCAAGCTTCCTGGAGGCAGAGAATCGAATCATCGATCATACCAGAGCATCGTTTCTGGTAATCGGAACTGTAGGCGCAAGACCAGAAAATTTCTGATTCAGTTGTGGAAGGTCTGGACGAGAGCCAAAAAATGGAGAGCAGAATGGAAAACCTAGAGCGGAACCATACACCGATGGAAAAGATCGCGATGTCTTTAGCGACGAGACAGGAGAAGGTAGCGAAGATGAACAGTAACAGGATTCGACCGAGGAATCAATCGGTTACTCAACGCAGTTCGCATCGCACTTCACTTCTCCGAGACGCAAAAAATTCCGATTATTCTCGTTCTAGTGCAAATCCGGATATCAGTAGTAGACCTATTCGTACGGGAATAAAGCTTGAATTACCCTTGTTTAAAGGGGATGATGCAGACAGTTGGATTGTGAGGATGGAAGAGTATTTCCGTATCAAAGCTACGGTGGAGAAAAATAAAGTGCAAGTAGCAGAAGGTGCGATGGAGGAAAGGGCGTTAGCCTGGTTTCCATGGTGGTATACTCAAACAAGAGAGAAGAGTTGGGAGGCTCTGAAGGAAGCCATAACACGGCGTTTCCAACCTACAAGAAGCCGGAAGACAGAAAACCAGTATACACGGTCACCTATAATTTCTCTCAGCTCGCAGGTGTCTTCTCAATCAGCTCCAACCTTTTTCGTTTCTCCTAGTTCGTATCTGCGAACTACTTCTCTCTGTTCACCTCAGAGTACGACGCGGCCAAGAGAAGAATCTTCTGGTGCGCAAGATTTTTTTCATCATGCGCAAGAACCTCCCCAGGCGCAATCTATCTTTGAGTCCCAAGATTCACAGCAGGAGTTGGAAGATCAGCTGAAACCTTCCTCAGAAGACATGTTTAACTATAGTGACAATGAACGCAAGGAGCAAAGAATTGTGGTGACTCAATCTTCAACTACTGATTCAAGGAACAATAAGAATCAAGTGGTTCCTGAAATCTTTATAGGTATGGAAAATTCAGCTTTACATATCGGAGACCCAGTTACATCTGCAAACCTTGTGGGTAGAAATCAAAGCCCTAAGGTAGGAGTAGCTAATTTCACAGACTTTGCTCAGCCGGAAATCATTACTATATCCCCAGCTACAGATGGTGGTAATAGCAAAGCTATTGATGGTGGTAATAGCAAAGCTAGAGAGGCAGCATTCATCAATGACTTGAAAAATGGAATACAATCAGACTCTAAACATGCTGCTAACATTATGCATCGACCAGTAAATGATTTTACAAGATCTCTTGAAGGTGAACGATTAGGGAACCTTGTGAGGAACAATTCTCTATATAGTGGTGCCTGGAGTGCAAAAATAGTGGATACTGAGAAGGCAGATTACGGGGCCCGGATTGGTGTGATGGATAAAATTGTTGAGGTTCAACCAAAGTTTCACGATGATGCAAGTAAAGAAGAGCAACTGGGTCCATTTGAAGAATGTATTCAGTTGTATGATAACGGCGGGAAGATATGTGCATGTTCATGGGAATGGTTTCGGGTAAAGACTGGGGGTGCCAAAGATAAAACCAATTTTAATGACTATATGGATTTGACTATTGAGGATGCTGGAAATGTAGAAGTGGAACTCTGGCCACTTGGAAGAATTGTTAAGGCTCCTATCTCCTCACTGGGCCTAATAAAGCTGGGGGCAGATCAGGACAGGGAAGCAAGGAGATTTTATCTTGCAGAATCTTTATCTGTTGATATTGCTTACAAAGAAGAAGCTTCAAGAGTAGATTATCTTGTCAAATATGTAGGTCCTCATTCAATTTCATGTCAGAAACTTGATCAAAGTGAAAATGGGGATATGAACAAGGCAGAAATGGGTGAAAGAAGTATTATCTTTGACAACATAATTCCAGGGAGTTTTCATCTCCAGTTTCTGCTCCTATTTGCTGAGAAAGAAGTGAAGATAAAAGGTCAAATAATGAAGGACATGGCCAAGCATTCTGGGAGGTATTGGGAAGGAAGAGGTGCTCGGATGAAGATGAAGTTGAAGATCAAGGCTTTGTCCTATCACCCACCTTGAGGACAAGGTGGTTTTTCAAGGGGGGAGATATGATAGAGCCCTGGGCTGTAGAGAATAATAATAATAAGAATAATAATAATAGTGATAGATTGATATTAAATAAGTATGGTATTGTATAAATAAGTATTTTGGGCCATGTCATATAATATGGGCTTGCCCGTTAGAATAGAAGTACTATAAGAAAGGGAAGGAGGGAAGGAAGGAGTAGGCTGATTTTGGGAATCGGGAATTAGTTCTGGAGAGTTGAGTGCCTCTCGAAGCGCCTCATTTGTATCGTCTTCTTCGTTTCTGCCTTTTACCGCAATATTACTGTTCAATTTACTGTTACAGAATTGGAGATCCTATCATCTGTCAATCCCAAATCAATATTTAAACAGCTTGATTAGCTCCCTTTGATAAACTCCAGGCTTAATAACTTAATGCAAGTTGGGTTCTTCATATGCATCACAATACCAGTTAATCTGACCTGTGACATCTTTCGTATGTCCTATCAACTCCTTAAGAATAGAAGGAGCGAAGACGGTGCACAATGTCAAGCTCCCATCTGATGCCCCATACGCTAGCAGGTCAGAACTCAAGTGCCCAAACTTTATGACCGTAACTAGAGACAGAGAGAATATGATAGTCAAACAAAAAATTGACACGAGAAAATTAAATTATGTTCGTTTCATAAAGAAAATTACCCATGGCCTTGCATTTATCAAAGATGCAATGCATCCCAACAAAGGAATATGTAGGTTCGGACTTTTTACGTGGGCAGCCACTATCACTTGCATTTGAGCTAAAACTCGTAGTGCGACTTAATGATTGACTTTGACCAATACTTGGTAGATCCTGCAAAAAAAGGATTTACAAAACAGGTTGACGTGAGTAAGGGAAGATGTAACCATAGTTATGAATACTTGAAGACATCTAATTGATTAGGGAAAAAGAATAAACATACCCTAAACTTTGAAGGGGTGTGAGGTAAATACCCCAAACTTTATATAAAAAGTTATTTCCTCACCTTTGTTATGTATTATTTCTTTCAAAATTGTAAATTTATGGGGTCAATTGCATAATTTAAAATAGCAAATTAAAAGTGTTGCAAAAATATAGATTGGGGGTAACATTATTCATTTCGTAATGGAAGTTAAGAATGTTAATTGTGTCTTCATAAATTCTAAAATATTTTAAATTATGCAATTAACACCATAAGTTTATATTTATGAAAGAAATAATACTTGACTATGGTTCTAAAATAACTTTTTACATAAAGTTTGGGGTATTTGAATTATATATGCAAGTTTGGGGTATTCATCACACACCCCTTCAAAGTTTGGAGTATTTTAATTATTTTTCCCAATTGATTATAATGAAGTATGTGTTTCGCACCAGCCAAAATCTTAGGGTCCTTTGGAACTCGGAAAATGGTAGGGGAGAAATATTTAGAAATCCTTACATAAATAAGATGTGGGGAAAAAATTGCTTCAAATCCACATGTCAGTGTTAGATATTTGTTCTAGCTCATTCTATTTAAAGAAATCTGTCATATAGACGATGAGAAGTATAATCATATGAAAAATATTACTCTGTGTGCTCCCCAATCAAGTTCCCAGTTTGACCTACACATATATGCAAGACATATATTGGTTTTGAGTTTTTGAGTATACTCTTACTTTGTGTAAAAGTGAGCAAAATCTAAACAAAAAGTAAGGGCATTAATGACATTTTCGGATTTTCCCATTCAAATTTTTTCCTTTGCGCATACCCGACCCCCCCTTTGATGGAGATGCGCAGGTTTAGAACAGAAAATCAATAAGGAATGTAGCTAATCTACAGAGAAATTAGCTCAAGAACAATCTGCAATTTTATTCAACAGGGTAAACAGTACAAGAGTCCCAAAAGAAAGAGATAACACTCGATCTTTCCCAGTCCCAGTCCAAGCATCTAACAGCCTACTTACTCACTCCCCTTTTTCGTCTATTTATACTACATATACCCTTATTACTAATATTATTATTATTTCTAATAAAAGTCTAATACTCTAATAGGCTGATTCCTATCAATACTTCCCCCTAAACATCCACCTTGTCCTCAAGGTGGGTGATAGGAAACAGTCAATATCTTTTGCTTTTTTTTTTTGCACCTCTTCCTTCCCAATACCGAACTGATTGCGGGACCATGAACCTTTCCAAAGATGTCTAGCAGCTTACAAATCCCACAACCAATAAGGATCCTGATGCCATGTACTGCGGGATGTATAATGGGGTATTGACAAGCAAGGAAAGAGTTGGACATTGATAACCAGCACATTGATACTGAGGTATTGCTATAACTATTCTTCCCAGCAAGTAGGGTTCCACTTCTATATTTCCAACATCTTCACTTAGCTTGGTTTCCCTTACAAGAGCACAAGTGGAACAGGATCATGGGAGCCTAAGATCATTTTGTAAGGTTGAAAATTTGCTTGAGCTTCCAATCCATTAACAGTAGCCAGAGTAGAAGGATCCAGGGCCACACTGATTTTATCCAACTGGTATTCAAAAGTAAACTCATCAGCCCTTTTCAGTCTATACTTAGAGGAGTTCCAATTTGCATAAAGTATCAAACTGTCCCTCTTAACTGCCATCCTAGGTTTAACAATGGGGTGAGTGCAGATTGAACCTCAATTGCATTCATATGTGAATCATTCTTCCACATTTGTTTTGCTAAGGCACCCGGGAATGACACCACATCTTCACTGCTAATTTCTTGGCCCTGACTGTCAGCATCCATAACGTACTTCTCCAACCTTCTTCTATTAGCAAGTTGGTGAACCATGTTACCCCTGTTCCAATGCTCATATATTTTCCAAGTACTACTCCCTCTGTCCCAATTTGATGATCCCATTTCTTTTGGGCTCAAAGATTAAGAAAGTGGTTGAAAAAGTAAAAGTTGTGGTTGAGATTTGAGTAGAAAAAGGTGAAATGATATGGACCACATATTTCTTTCCAAAAAGGGAAATGAGACTATCAATTTGGGACGGCCCAGAAAGGAAATACGGGATCATCAAATTGGGACGGAGGGAGTATCAATTACCATATGTGACTGCATCTGACGACCTACATCTCCATGTACAAAAATAATACCAATTGTTGACAAACCCCTGACCTTTTCAACTTTTGTTACTGCATCGGTGAAGAGACCCTTAATGAGATTCTGAAAAATCTTGACAGGTTCGCGTTTGAGAACTCGATCAATTTCACCAGCTTCAGGTCCATTGGTCACTGACGCATTCTTCTCGCTTTCATTTTTGCCCTCAATGAACTTCTCCGCCCTAGGCGATGAAGAATAGGCTCGGGAAAAAGTCTGAGAAATGAAAACTTCTACTCCAGATGAAGTTTGCGAACTCATAGGAGCGACTTCAGACGAAGAAGACGAACAGTGATAATCGATTGGCGATGGAGATGGGGATTCTTCTCTTAATCGCATCTTTCTTGGACGTGAACTGATAACAGATGAAGAATTTTGCGAATGGTGATGCGAAGAGCGATGCGAAGAGATATGCGAAGTTCGCGACTGCGGACTCTGAGAAGAAACATTTCGCGACTTTGCCTGCGATAACGGATGATGCCTACTGTTCCTCGTTGTGTCGCCAAATTTTCTGTGATGCCTCCCCTCTTCTGATTCCTCTGGAATCGCTGAAATTCGCGTGTGACGATGATGCGAGTTTGCGATGCGATGAGTGTGACGCATGCGATCGGTTTCGCGATCGATTTTGATCTCTCTCCATCAACGCTGCGAAATTGGCTTGCATCGTTGCCATGTTAGTCTCCATGGTTGCTGCCAATTCCCGTTGAATCCTCTCAATTTCAGTCAATCTCCCTTCCATCTTCGTGCGTGTTAAGGTCATCCAGTACACAAACGTGCTCTGATACTACTGATAGAGATGCGCAAGTTTAGAACAGAAAATCAATAAGGAATCTAGCTAATCTACAGAGAAATTAGCTCAAGAACAATCTGCAACTTTATTCAAAACGGTAAACAGTACAAGAGTCCCGAAAGAAAGAGATAACATTCGATCTTTCCCAGTACCAGTCCAAGCATCTAACAGCCTACTTACTCACTCCCCTTTTACATCTAGTTATACTACATATACCCTTATTACTAATATTATTATTATTTCTAATAAAAGTCTAATACTCTAATAGGCTGATTCCTATCACCCTTACCATAGGTGGGACCGTGGGAGCCTTTGCGGCACTCCGTAATGACGATGATGATGAAAACGGGAACTTCATTTTGGGACATCCAAACTAGGGCTCAGTCCAAAAAACCGAAAACCAAAAACCGAATCAAATCATACCGAACTGTAGCCAAATAAAACCGAACCGCTAACAAACCGAAACCGAATGTAAAAAATCGAACCGAACCGTAGTTGTTTGGTTCAGTTTTGGTTTATACCCTTCAAAACCGAACCCAACCGAACAAAACGAACTAATAAAAATATAAAATTTATTTGTCAATTGTTAAGCATTAATTCTAACTAATCCTAATATCATTAATAGTCTTTGGTTTTCTTGTGCTAGAGAAATAATGTTTCTGTTACGTTTAAACAGTGTAGCTATGCTCAATGATGATAATATGTTTTTACTAGTTATTAGTATCAATTAACTTTTATTTGTATTTAACTTAAGGAATTCATATTGAAGAAACAATAAATATTCATATCAACTATATCATATAGAACATATATACTCATGAACTTTTTTTGAACTAGTCACAAACAATGTAAATTAATAATATACTCCCTCTGTCTCTAAATAAAAGACACACTTTCCTTTTTGGGATGTCCTATATAAAAGGCACATTTCCCTTTTTGCCAAACAAAACAGTGCAGAACAGTGCCAAACAGTGTCCAAACAGTGTCAAACAGTATTCCTCCTAAAGATGTGCGACAGTCAAAGTATGTCTTTTACATAGGGACGGAGGGAGTATATACTTTTATCTCTCTCGCATACTCATATAATTCAAGACATGTTTATTTATTTTCATTTTTATTTTATTTGTTGTAGTGTGCTTGCATTCTTTATGTAATATGTTTGATCCCTCAAAGTATAATATCAATTTTAAATCAAATGATAATTTTTTGGTAAAAAAACCGAAAAAACCGAAACCGAATCGAAACAAACCGAACCAATCAAACCGTGGTTCCAAGTTTTGGAGTGTAAAACCGAACCGAACTTTTTACTTTGATTCTATATTTGGTTTTAGGTCAAAACTGAACCGCAAGAACCGAACCCACCCCTAATATTCCAAACAGGAAAAGTGGCAACTTGATTGTGAGAGGAATGGGGTAAAAGTTTTAAACAAATTCGTTTGTCCTTCGCTTTTACCAAACATTAAAAACCATTTCCTGAAGTTGTTTTTTCCTTTGCCTACCATTTCATAGTTCCAAACATGAACCTGTGGAAAAACTGAAATGCTAGAAGAGCTAATTGACATCCAAAACATGCAAAACTGAAAGTAGCACCCACCCTGCCAGTACTCCAGCTGTCCGCCTCAAACAAATGAGATAGCCGGTTAGGAGATGGTTGCCAACGCCCGCTGAGGCATCAATCAGGAAATCAACCTGATGTCAGATTGTATTGGAAAAAGCTTCAACAAGAGTTATTAATAGTAAAGCTGCACATTAACGTAAGTGTACACCATATTCTAGATAGATCAAAGTTCAACCACATTAAGATACTTATATGCCCACAGATTGGCAGAAAGGAAAAAAATATACTTGATCCAACTTTCAGTCCTTATCCTTTGTTGTGAAAATCTCATTTTTTCATTTTCATTTACCCCAGTGCCGCAAAGGCTCCCACCTACGGTGGTGTAAGGGGGGGTCGGATGTACGCAGTCTTACCTTTGTACTAAAGCACAAAGAGACTGTTTCCGGATGACCCGTAGTGAAAATCGCGTCCAAAATTGCATGGACTGACTGCTGCTTCATAACAAAGAAGCACAGACAGTTTAATGAGCCATTTTGCTTTATTCCATCATATTCTCAAGCCAAAAAATAATGAATCTTTGGCTCCATTGCAAATGATGGAAAATTCGTTGTGAAAATCTAATACACAAAAAAAAAATCTTTTGTGTGAAGGGTGGTCAAACTGATTTAACTAAAATATTTATCTTAATAAAGAACTTTAATGCCTGAATTTGCATGTAATTAACGCAAGAAAACGACAAAACTATCAAACTGTATTCAGCAAGTCACCTCGGCCAAGAGCCTACACCAACATGCAACAAAGAGTGAATAAGGTCGTCAAAGATAGTCCCATGTTCGGATGCCACATTAGGCACTAGTAAACTAGTGTACTTGAGAGATAAAACGAAGGACAGTATTCTAGATATAGACCACAAAGAGAATTATACAATAATGACATTTCTAGTGTCTCTAAAAGTGTAAAATTTTCCTGTGGTTAATAGATCTATTTATGAGAGAATAGATCTATTTATGAGAGAACAGTTACTCCATGATCTAATGGGTTTTGTTGTCTGTTGTCCTGATTCCTGAATTATGTTAAAGCACCAATTCAACAGTGTTTGTAAGGCATGCTTCGTTTAAGAGATTGAGACTTCAGTATGTTATTTTACAACAAGAAAAGATAGATCTCAAATTCTCAACCACCTGTTTCCCGGGGTGCTCAAGTGGCTCGGTATCTGCACTCTTTCCCAATTCCTTGGTCGATTAATGAAATTGCGATAGGACACATAACCCATTCCATTGCTTTTCCAATCCTTTGACATGGATAAAATACTAGACAAAGTCATTACTTATGTAAAACTAAGAGCATGAATAAAACAAAAAAGTGCATGAAGGAAATAGCGGAAGAATTCAAAATGGTAATTGATCGTTTCCTTTATTTCTACAGCTCCTTCAATGGTTCCCCTAACATTCCCAAACCAACCCCATCCTCTCCCAAAAATCCAAAAAGACATCCTTTTTCCTACCCAAAATTTGGACCCACACTTGTCTTTGTGAAACGGTAAGTAGGTAACCAATATAATAATCTTAATAAATTACTACAAATAGGAACAGAAGAGTAAAACAAATAGTTATTATGCTCATAAATAGGACCATCAATGTTTAACCCTAAAAACAGAATTGAGTCCTTAGAAAGAATAAAAATAGTCACTACTTTTTTTAAGATTGATTTAGGAAAAGCAATTATAGCCATGTGTCTATGTGTTATGATTTAGTCATATTTATGGAATTTTCTCTATAATCTATACGGAATTTTGTCTATGTTCTATATAGTAAACATTTTCTGAATCTAACAAAATTTACTATGTTTAATGATGAAGATTAGAAAATGAAGAACAATTAGAGTAATTGTAAGGGCATCCTCATTCATTAGTTTATTTGAAGATTAATTGTGTGTTGTGTAAGATTATTTTAAAGATATTTTGTGAGCTTTTTAATAACTGTAAGCTTTAAGTGACTGAAAAAATCTTAAAAAGAAAAGGTGATAGTTGTTTGGTAAAAAGCTGACTGCTTGATTTAGTTCGGTTTGGTATACAAGCTATTAAGACTAATTAATATTAAAAGTCATGGGCTTTTTTCAGATGCTACTCCCTGTAGCATCTCAAAAAAGATCTTTTAATTTTTGAAAATCTCTTAAAAATTGTCATACCAAACATATAACTTGAAACTTTTAGAGACTTTTTGAACAGTACAAAAGCTAGAAGACAGAGACTTATGCCTGCCAAACATAGCCAAAATATATTTAATGAATGTCCTAGAAAAACTAACTAATTGACTATCATTAATTGATGAAGAGTTTTGAACTTTGAGATTATTTAAAATTTATTGGGTGAAATTGATGTGGCAATGATGGATAAAAAAAATCAGATAGAAATAACAAATTCTAATGAAACACTTCCTAATTTTTTCTTCCTCCACTTGGTAGGAAAGCTATAATTGGAAACTACGATGTAATTTTTGGAGGCATTGGTTTATACATTCCTCTTAGTCTCCACTCAAAGAGAAAAAAAATTATTTAACGGGCATGAATGGAGATGTTCTAATGTTTAAAAAGTTGACGATTTTACAAGTTAGTCCAGCATTGCAACAGAGACATTAAATTTCCAACTTGTAAACGGTAAACTTTCCAGTTTCTGATTCTAAGAAATACTCGTAAATTTTTATTGCTATGATAGTAACATATTAAATTCCAGCGATGGAATCACATAACTTGTTAAGTCACAAAGACAATCAGCAATGACCGTTACACAAACATAATGGAAAGATTTTTTAAAAAGCAAACCAAACGCACTTTTCGGCGAAGAATACCGGACTCGGCTTTGCGGTAGAGAAGAAGTCTACGAATTCCAATATACATAGGATCGGAATCGACGGGCGAAGGCTGAAGCATACAGCAGAAGAACTCGGGATCTGAAGCAGTGCCCGCTTTGTCTCTTAGAATGTTCTTCGGAACAGCATTAGCAAGCAAACTCTTCTCAGTCGTCACCTCCGCCATCACACGAACTACTGATAGACGCTCCGCCAATTCCAGTACACTCTCCGCCTGCCAGATCGAAGGCAATTGCGATATGGTGAGATGTTTACAGAAGAAATGCGTGACCCGAAATTAGGATGAGGACAAGTCAATCAACGGCCTGGAGTGTTACAAGGGGTTACTAAAGGAAGTCTCAAGCGCTACTTAAAAAAGCTGGTGTTTGATAAATGATAACACTAAGAGGCCGTTTGGAACCACTGTTTTTCGGCTTATCAGGCTTATCAGCCAGCTTTTTCACCAAACACGTAATTTTTGCTTTCGCGCGCTGAATTGTGTAATAAGCAGAAAAAGTAAGGTTGGAGTTACTTTTCTGGCTGTATTGGCTGAAGTTACTGTAGATGACCATTTTAGCTATTTTTACATATAATTTTTTCTTTATTTTATTAATAAAATATATTTTAAAAATAATTTTTTCTTAAATCAGTAGAATCAGCCAATGCAGCCACTTCAGCCAGAACTTCATAAATTTCAGCAGAAACAGCCCAAACAGCCGACTTTCGTGCTACCAAACGGGCTCTAAAATTTAGTGTTTGATTACACTAAAATTTAATGTTTGATAACACTAAAATTGGCTGAATTGACTGATTCTACTGAAAATTATGAAGTTCTGGCTGAAATGGTTGTATTCACTGATTCTGCTGTTTCATGAAAAAATTATATTTAAAATATTTGTTATTAATAAATTAAATAAAAAAATTATATGAAAAAATAGCTAAAATGATCATACGCAATAACTTTAGCCAATACAGCCAGAAAAGTAACTCCAATCTTACTTTTTCTGTTTATTACAAAAATCAGCGCGTGAAATCAAAAGTTACGTGTTTGGTGAAAAAGTTGGCTGGTGTTAAGGTTTAATCCGGAAGATCCGAAAGCCCAACACAAGCTTTGGATATTTAAGGACGTTAGGTTGGTTTGGAAAGTGTATGAAAATATAAGATAGTGGAATAAGATTCAACTCAGGAGCTAACTTGTATTCAGTAATTCTGCGATTACACTAAACAACCCGAACGGTGGGTAAATACAAGATTACAAGAATAAGAGAGATAATTCTATCTGCTAAGCTCTGAGTATTCAAATGCTCACCCTTTACATTGTATTAAGTCCACGTATTTATACTAGGATGGGGATGGGTGAGATGGACACGTGGCTGAATCCGGTAAGTTGTAACCTCTGCCACGTATGCACCCATGCATCTGCTTGCTTCTGTCATGCTTTAGCATTAAATGCGGCTTCCACTTGCTGGCTACCCGTTCGGATGGCACGTTCGGTGTGCGGGACCCCCTTGAAGGTATTTGATGTTAGTATTTCCTGAAATACTCCAAGTAGAAGAACTGTGTCGAATGCCGATCGGGATGTTCTGGATTGCTTTGGACCCTATGATTTCCTCAGGGTTCTGTCATACTTTGGGCCGGGTATATTGGGCCTGTAACCAATATCCCAACAGCTGGTAAGCCTGATAAACGGAAAAAAGGGGTCACCAAATGTGCTCTTAGTTTAAAAAAATAGTTATTCCACCCGTGCATTGCACGAGAATAAAATATCTACGTTAGAAGTTTAAGTGGATTATATAAAAAAAAATACTTGATAGTGAATCAATTAACTGAAAACATTAAATAAAATAAAAAGGTATAGTTAATAGAAAAATAAAAAACAACGCTCCAAGTTAAAACTTAAACATCAAAGGAAATTAATATATTCAACACGTACTTGGTTGATTATCCGTCTTTCTAATGTACTGCAAACTTCAATTCAGATGGACTTGTTACTCTCGACACTACCACGTAAGCATGTCCATGTGTAAAACCGGGTCGACGTGTATTAGAATGATGAAGTCAACTTTTTTCAATGACTGTCCCGACACCTAGTACATGTTTACATCACGGGTTACTAAACGGTGCTTAGTAAGACCCGTGTTAATAAGCGGCGCATAAAATAAGCAGTGTTGTAAGCTCATGTTTACTCCAAATGATTTAAAACACCTTTTAACATTAAAATGTCCAAAATAACCCTACACATATATATAGACACGCAAACATTCATGAACACAAATATATAATATAATATGTGGGGGTCACCTGATACGCGTACCCATACCCCTAACCCCACCTGACCTCTATATCTATACCCCCACCGCTACCCCACCCTACCCTTACCTTAACCTTAACCTCTACCCCCCCCCCCACCCTCACAACCCCGCATACCCATGCTCCTAACCCCTACCCTACTCGTAGGGGTGGGGTTGGGTCGAGATAAAGGGCAGGTTGTAGGAGTAAAAGGGTAGGGTCCGGCAGGGTAAGGGTTAAGGGTAGGCGATGGGGTCGAGGGTGAGGTCGAGGTAGGGGCAGATGGCAGATGGTTCGGGGTTGGTTCGGGGTACAAGTGGATGGGTGTGGGGGAGGGGTGGGGTAGTGGTCGGGTCGAGGTAGTGGTAGGGCAGGGGGTACGGGGTGGGGTAAGAGGAACATGTGGGGGTAAGGGTGAGGGTAGGGTATGGGTAAGGGGTGGGGTCAGGTCGAGGTAAGAGTAGGGTGATGGGTACATGTGGGGGTGGGGGTAAATGGGGTGGGATCGGGGTCGAGGTAGGGGTAAAGGGGGTAGGGTCGGGGTATGGTAGTGGTAAGGAGTGGGGGTGGGGAAAGTAGGGTAGGGGTAAGTGGGTGGGTTAGTGGTCGGGTCGAGGTAGGGGCAAATGGTATGGGGGTAAAGGGGTAGGGTCTGGGGGTGGGGTCGAGGTAGGGGCAGATGGCAGGGGTAAAGGGGTAGGTTTGGGGTATGGGTGAGAGGGTAGGAGGGGTGGGGTAGTGGTCAAGTCAAGATAGGGGTGGGGTTAGGGGTACGTGGTGGGGTAAGGGGTGAGGGTAGGGTAAGAGGTGGGGGTTAGGGATCAGGTTGAGGTAGGGGTAGGGTAAGGGGTTGGGGTTGGGGTGGAGGTAGGGGCAGGTGTTAGGGGTAAAGGGGGTATGGTAAGGGGTTGGGGGTTGGGTAAGTAAGGCAGGGGTAAGTGGGTGGGGTAGTGGTCGGGTCGAAGTAGGGGTAGGGTTGGGGTAGGACGGGTGGGGGTAAGAGGTATGGTCATGGGTAGGGTTGGGGTTAGGAGGGGCGGGGTAGGGTCGGGTCGAGGTAGGGGTAGGGGTAAGGTAAGGGGTACGAGTGGGGGTTGGGGGTCGGGGTCGGGGGTAGGGGTAAAGGGGAGGGTCAAGGTAGGGTACGGGTGGGAGTGGGGTAAGGGGTTATGGTCGAGAGCGTAGGGATGAGGTTGGGGCAAGGTAGGGGCAGGACGAGGTGGGTAGAGGGTGTAGAGGGTAACAATAGTGTAAGGACAAGGAGAAAAGTGTGAAGTAGTAACTTTTTTGTGAAATTAATTGTGTTCAAAATTAATATCATAGTCACTATATCATATGGAGTAGTAATTTTTAATATAATTAAAAAAGTTACTAAAAGTTACTAAGTTACATTTTTGTCCACCAAGTTCCAAGAAGTAATATTAATGGAATTTTTTCTTGAATAAATCCATTATTAAACAAATTACAAAGTTGTTTAGTTAGGTTTCAGAAAAAACTAAGTCACACATGAAATCTAATGGATTAAAATAGACATTGGCCAATATCTTTTTTTATTAAGGTAAATATGAGTATAAAAACTCATTTGGATGAAACAAAGAATTATATATTAAAAGGGTTTAGCTTTTCCATTGGAAAATATAGACCAAGAATTTGTTAGGATAGTAAGTAAAAAAACACTGTGAATGAGATATGCATAATTAATAGCTAATGTTATAATTGGTTAAATGCATGATTTTTCATTAGCTATATTAACTCATATTTATATAAGTGTGGACGTAGACACACACATGTATATAATAAAATTTAAAAATCAAAATCATTTATCATGTGCACGGCAACTCGGCACGGGTAAAAATACTAATATAATACAATTCAAGGTTACAATTTAAGAAAGTGTTGCCATGTGTCCAAGACAACTTAATTCATAGAAATATCATTCAGCAAGGGTACAAGATAATAAAAGAAACACATGTAATCATCCGTCCGTGGCCGAGACTGAGAGTTAACCACCTGTAAGAAAGCAGTATAACTCGCTAGATTAAAATTGGGCAACTTAAAACCAATGACGGTTACCGTAGAACTTTCCTCCCCCAAACCTAATGCAGGAGTCTTACAGGGAAAATAAAAATAAAAGCAAAACAGACCGAAATATCCAAAGTAATTGCCAACAAAGTAAATAAAGTCTCGGCGGGTCTATGGAAATTGACCAACCGCTTCCCCATTTTTTGGCTCATCAAGAGCTATTCCTTCACCAGCTATGTCTCCCTTGGCCTGATTATCCCCAAACCTTCTACATTACCTTAATATTCTAATTCTAATTCTCTTTCTAATTAAAAAATCACGTCCCAGCATTTAGAATTCCTTCAAGTAAACAAATACGTTGTCCAGACTCCTGGAATGAAACAAATTCTTTGTAATCAGATTTCAAGGAATCCTAAAATCAACAGCCAAATTACCAAATTGGGAAAAAAAAAAATAGAGGGTTGTTGGACAGATTGGTAAAAAAAACCAATTGAGACAAATTGGTAAAAAAAAACCTAGTGACAAATTGGTCAATTTTTTTAGAGTGACAAACTTTTGATCCCCGACTTTGGAATTCCCGACATTTCATATTATAAGTATTGTGAAATTGATATTTGCAGTTCTTTTACTTTGATTTTGACATCAAAAGTGGAGGTCTAAAAATGTCAACGACCGTGTTTGATAATAGTGGTTGTCTGCTAGCTTAAAGTCGGTTGAATCAACATATTGATAATAGTTGATTTAATTAGCTTTTATAACTACCCGCTTTCTTTAGCGTTTGAAATAAAATATTACTAACTTAAATATTTGCGATTAAATCTTAAGACGTAAAATAACCATTAAAAATATTTTTTTAAAAGTATATATATTTATCTTAACTTTATTTCTTTTATTTTTATTAAGTCTTTCAAAAGGTTTTAAAAATTATATTTATATTTATTTTAAATAACCATGGAGTAGATTTAAAAAAACTAATAAATAGTCATATGGAGTAGATTTAAAAAAAAACTAACAAATAGTCATATTTAAAATACTAATACTAAA